ATCTTACATCTCCAGTGGTGAATGACCTCATCTCCCGAGTGTGGGTGCCGCGTCTCCCGCTGGAGATGCGGTGGCATCTCCAAAATCTTGGATATGTGACACTACTCCGATTGATATAAAACACATCATGAAAAACATTAAAATTCAACTTCTATCATTGCTAAAACTTTTGATTGAATGAATTAAGAGGGAGTATTCACTTAACCGATTCGTAGAGGAGGGTGTGCCAATGGCGTGACGTGTCGTATCTAATGTATCTCGATCAGCTCTATCTATTGACATATAATATATTGTGAAAAACATTCAATTTCAAATTCTAAAATCGCTAAACCTCTTCTTGTATGAGTTATGTTGAGTATTTCCTAAACCAATTCGTTGAGCAATTTCTGCCAATGACAAGATATGTTCCATTTGATGTCTATCGATGGGCTCTATCGATTGATATACAATATGTTGTGAAAAACATTCAATTTCAAGTTCAGCAATTACTAAACCTTTAGCTAGGTGAGCTGAGAGTGAGTATTTGCTTAACCAATTCGTTGTGCAATGTGTGACAATGACGAGACATGTCCCATCTAATGTATCTCGACCAGCTCTATCCATCGATATATAATATGTTGTGGAAAATATTCAATTTCAAATTCTGAAATTGCTAAGCCTTTTTCTGTTATGACTTATGTTGAGTATTTCCTTAACCAATTCGTTGGGTAATCTGTGCCAATGATGAGACATGTCGCATCCAATGTATTTCGATCGGCTCTATCGATTGATATATAATATGTGTTGAACATGATTCAATTGCAAATATTAGAATTGCTAAACCTTATTCTGGTGTCAGTTATGTTGAGTGTTTCCTTAACTAATTCGTTGAGCAATTTGTGCTAATGACAAGATACGTTCCATTTGATGTATCTCGATGGGCTCTATCGATTGATATACAATATGGTGTGAAAAATATTCAATTTCAAGTTCAGCAATTGCTAAACCTTTAGCTAGGTGAGCTGAGAGTGAGTATTTGCTTAACCAATTCGTTGTGCAATGTGTGACAATGACGAAACATGTCCCATCTAATGTATCTCGGCCAGCTCTGTCCATCGATATATAATATGTTGTGAAAAATATTCAATTTGAAATTCTGAAATTGCTAAACCTTTTCTGTTATGACTTATGTTGAGTATTTCCTTAACTAATTCGTTGGACAATTTGTGCCAATGACAAGATATGTTCCATTTGGTGCCTCTCGGTGGAATCTACCGATTAATATATAATATGTTATGAAAAATATCCAATTTGAAATTCTAAAATTGCTAAACCATATTCTGGTACCACCTATGTTGAGTATTTCTGTAACCAATTCGTTCGGTTTTCTTAGATTAATTCAAGCTAAATTAAAATTTGTTTGGTTGTCTTTTCGAAGAAAATAACCTTTTATTTTGAAAATGTGCTATCAAACATATGTTTATGAATATTATAGTATCATTCAGTGGCGGATCCAGGAAATTTTGAAGGAGGGGGCGGATACAATCAAATCATGGACTTTATTCGTGATGGTTTTCCTAACATTTTCTAATATCATCTGTTCACATTTATATGATTCATAAAATGCTATGATCTATTGCAACAAGAAAGAACTTAGAAATAAGAACAACAAAGAAATAAATTATCCAAGAATAACTTAGAAACAACAACAATTAAATAAATTATACACCAAAATCCAGCTTTCTATTCTTTCGCTTTGAGAACTTGTCGATGACTTGTTCAATATCAATGTTAATCATTGGATGCACATACATCATTGCAAGTCCATTTAAACGATTTTCACTCATGGTACTTCGAAGATATGTTTTTACCAGTTTTAATGTTGAAAAGCTTCGCTCGCCTGTGGCAGTTGTCACTGGCAACGTGGCATACATTCGTAAAAGAACTTTGATATTCGGAAAGAAGGTGCCGTTGCATCGAACATAAGCATCAATAGCATTGTCCGGGCGATCTTCTATTGCCTGATTGAGCCATTTTCGTTTGTATAATTGAAATTCTTCTTTAATTAAATTTGGTGATGGTAAATAAGCTTCGTAAAAAGTAATAGAGTCTTTCAAATCATCGAAAGACTTATGTTCAATCATTGATGGAACAAGGATCGACACATTATAAGCCATCCATTGATGAGCACTAAATTGGTTAGTTAAAGATATAATGAAATGATCCATAATAGGAATAAATAAGTTGACTCGATAATATTCTTCCGGTGTTTGTGCTGGTGCATTCGGCCGATACATTGGTCGACCAACTCCTCGCATTACCGTCAATTAAGTACCTGAAAGAAATTTAAAATCACAACACTGAAGTTAAGCTCGTATTTCTGACGTCTTGATAGATCTGGTCAATTTAATGGTGAACTTGGTGAATTCAATTCAGAATTCAATTGAATTGATCGATTGTTGAATTGCATTGGCAATTACTGTTTCTTCGTATAAGATTAAACCAATTATATATACTGTTTTATTCCTTGAACGTTTGATGGTTTCATGAGAACAGTTCTCCTACCTGATAGTTCACACAATTGTTTGACTTCAGAAAGTATTTCACCATATTCTTCATTCAATTTTTCATTTCTCATTTGTTTGAACATGAACAAGACGTCGTCTACTAAACGCTTGCAATCCATAATGTCATTGTCTGGTGCTTGTAATCCAGCAGCAATAGGCAAAGTCATAGATAAACATTTTTTTAATATGCATAATGAAATAATAAAACAAGAACTTTGAATATTTTTTAAATAGTTAAATGCTAATGTTTGATTTTTACCTGTTTCTTCTTCGATAATTTTTTCAAAACAAGTCATAATGAACGGGTACAATTGTCGAAATGTAATCACAGCATCATGCCTTTCCACCCATCTTGTATCACAAACACTTGCTAATTTTTTTTTATTTGAATTGTTTATTATCTGTTTGAGATATAATGTTCGTTTCGATGATGAATTGAAATAATTGTAGATTTCCTTTATAGAACCAATGCAATTTTGAATAATAATAATAAAACACGAGTCTGATATTGCCAAGTTAAGACTATGTGATGCACACTGAAGATAAAGTGCTGTTGGAAATAATTTTTGAATATATGCATGACATCCTAAAAAATAAAACAAGAAGATATCAGAGTTAGATGTAAAGGTTAAAAAACAGTAAATTAAAATGAATTGTTACAGGAAAGCTTACCATTAAATTTTCCAGACATTGCGGAACATCCATCATACGCCTGACTTACCATGAAATTCGCATTAAGACCAAGATTTTTTATTTCATCAAGAATCAACCGGGCTAAACCTTCACCAGTTCGATCTTCAGCTGGTAAAAAGCTAATAAATTTTTCATGAACTTTATTTTCAAATACGTAACGAAGACAAAATGTAAATTGTTCGATAGTGTTAACATCAGTAGTTTCATCGCCGATTACAGTGAAGAATGTGGCATGCTTTACTTCAGCAAGTATTTGTTCTCGAATTAAGTCACCGCAAATTTCGATTAATTCGTTTTGTATTGTCTTTGAGATGTATGTGGCAGTTTTGCCAGCTGTTGATAGATGGTTAGCTAACATTGAATCACCAGCATCAATTCGATAGCGAAGTAATGAACGAAAATTACCTAGAATTAATATTCATATTAAAAACACTAGAATGTTTACTTTACCTTCACCACTAACAATAGAATCGACATTTAAATTACCATCATCTCTGTGTCCTCGTAGTGGAATATTGTTCTGACCACAGAGTATAATTGTTTTAATAATAGGTACTAAACGTTTTCGATTTTCAATTTTTTCTTGCTTCTGTTTGTTCACTAATAAATCATCGACGCTGTCGCACTTGTTTTCATATACAGAAATAAATCGCTCAGCATCTAAGATGCTATCATTGTGATAATTTTTTAACTTGTGTCTAGTTATTTGTCCATCGGCGCCTAATAACTTACCATATTGTTGACATGGAGAAAGAACAAAAGAACCCCAGTAATTATTACCAGCTGCTTTGGCAAATAAAACACAAGGTACACAAAAAAAGACCACTCTTCGACGGTGAGTAAACGAGCCATGGTTTGTTGTCATTTAAGTGATTTGGACGTAAAAATCGATTTTCGATAGTATTGTTTGTCTTGCGTTGAACAAAAGGCCACTTGAATTTTTCATCAGGAACAAAATGTTGTGTCAATAATAAGTATCGTAATTCATTCGATAAGTTTAATCGATTATGTATATAATTTCCAATATCATTTTTCAGTTTCATCGAATCTAAACTTGATGTGGCTTCTGGTAATGTTGCTTCTGATTGTTTATTTGGAGATAAATGATTGTTGATCGAAGAAACAAGAATCGAATCAGAAGTACCAACTGAAATATTTGTTGCTACTTCACTTGTATCAATATTACTGTTTATGTTTCCATTCAAAACTGTTACTGTCGATTTTTCACCTGCACGACTGGTGAAGGTGAAGCCGAATGAAGAGAGATCTTTAAATTTTTTCATTGACATCACTTCATTAGATTTAAAACAATGAATTACAACTTTTCACATATATTTAATAATCATTAAGACAATGAGCTCAAATGGACCAATGTCATAATCGTTGATTGTTTCAATGTGAGAAACAATGAACTCAAATGAGCTAAAGACATAACCGTCGATTATCATTGTTATTCCACAAATGCTTATCATCTGTATGACATGAATAGACGTCTCATTATAAAAGAAAAAAATTTTTGATAAGAGAAATAAACGTATTAACAGCAGTATATCTAAGTTATTGTATTTCTCTCGAATCTAATTTCAGAATACAAGCACTGTAAACTCAAAAATACTGTGAAATGCACTCTTGTCTCTGTAACTCGCATAAAAAATAATTAGCACGTAACATAAATTTCCAAGGAGGGAGCGGGCGCCCCGACCGCACCACTGTAGATCCGCCCCTGGTATCATTAGAAAACAACAGGAACGGAGCATGGTTCCTTTATATGGAAGATTTTATTTTGATGATCGAATTTGAACATATGATACTAAGTTCTTTCATTATCTCTTTCTTTTTCAAATTCATGTATTTTGAAGATATGAGTGATCAATTTACATTTAAAAAGGTTTACTAAATCTAGAAATAAATCCTAAAAAGTCTAAAATTATTTTAAATTTAAATTGTCAAGAATTTAAATTTGAAATAAATTAACCGAAAAATACCACGCCTGCGTAGTATCAATGATGCAAGCTGGTCTCGATCAAATCATTTGAAAAACTT